GAACACAGATTAGGTTAAAAAAATTATTCGAAGTATTAGAAACCAAATCCTACAAACCAAACAGAGGAATGGATTTCAAATCCAATCCAATCCAAATCCCATGGAATCCAAATCCCTCAAGGGAATCCAAATCTCTCAAAAACATTCCCGCAAACCAAACGCACCCTTAGTGGTTTCTCCTTTAATATACATATAGATTTCATAAAAATAGAATATGATACTTAAAAAAACTTGTATATTTATTGATACGAATATTATTATGGTATTTATTTTATCAATATATAGGGTCAGGTTCAGTGAAAACTGTAAAAAAATGAGGAACACTTCGATAACCGTTTATCTGGAGGGTATGCATATGTAAATACAATTAATTTGTCTGGTATGTACATGTGAATAAAAACCAAGAAATAACTTCAATTATTTGTATACACATGTACATACCGTCTAGATGAATAATTACCAAAATTAATATTCCTCAGTTTTTCATTTTCTAGGAATTTTCTCCTAAGCCTCCCTCTATGTGCGTGTGTGTGCAGTGTGTTTGTATAGAGAGATGTTCACGGAAAAACCGTAAAAAACAAAAAACCGAAGAACACCCTAATAATCATTAAATGAGAAAAATCAAATGTCTAAACTAAAATGGTATATTTGTAAAGTAAGTGTTTAATTGAATTGAATAACATAATTGGGACAAAAACATTATTATTTTTTTATTATTATTTAAAATCCAATATTTATGGAAATTATCACTTTCTATGATATCAATATACATATCATCAATATACTTTTTATGATATATCAATTTGTCATACAGTACAGTACAGTACAGTACAGTGTGGGTCACGTATCACACTCGACATAGTACAAAGGTTTTATAAACGTGTATTGGTCCTTCATTGTGGACACACAACACACATTACTTCGGAATACATTGCGAGTTTGTCGTTACTACTGATATCTCAATACATGAATCCACATACACATTAAAACTAGTTTTTGGCACACAAGACATGACAAAACAGAAACATTCTTGTCTCAACATAACATTAGCCTGAAATAGGTTGAAACTGGGCTTTACCAAAATAAGTGGAATAAAAAACAAAAAGATAAACAAGATTGATAAATTACTGAACTGCCCATTTAAAATTAAACTCATTTGTCTGTCTATCCAATCATGTCTGTGTACCCAACACGCCTTAAGGAAGATCAAATGTACCGTGATCGAAAATATCAACATGCACAAATGTAAATCGAAAAGTTCGCATCAATATATTGGAATAGAATTGCCAGACAACTCAGTAGAGAACATATAATGTAGTTCTAAAAGATGCAAATTAGTAAACACTCTTAAACTTCCATATCCCGATACAAAAATCCATCGTTAAATCAAACATAGACACCCGAAGCAAGGAGCAAGAACAAGGATCCAAAGCCCTGCATCACACAAACCCGTTGGTGAGTTAATCAACAAACCAAACTACTGGAAATTGGAACGGGAATGAGAACAAGAATAAAAAATTTCATGCCCCGAATATGGTTAGGTATGGAAATTAATGGATCTGGGTAATGGGCCCATTATATTATATCGAACCAAACCATATTTTTCATTATCATTCCCATATTACCCCTCACTACCCCCAACCAAACGCCCCCTGAATGCCAATCAAATCAAACGGGTGACTTACCAAAAAGACCGATGCCACTGCCCCTGTTGCGAGTTCCTTAGCAAGACTACGGCTTTTCCTAGAAGAGGTTGCTTCATAGCTGCACATATAAACATTCAATAAGATTAGCAAGAAAATCCATTTTCATGGCGAATTAGATGCGACTCATGTAATCTTATCATCCATAGCAATCATTTATATGGTTTTTTTAAGGGTAAAATGCATCAAAAGTAACAAAGTTTGGTTTAGTTCCTAATTAGTGCAACGGAGATTTTTATCTCAATTGACCTAACAAGTTCCCTATTTTGTATCCCATTGACCAGTAACCTGGTGATTTTGTAAAATCTGATGATGTGGATACTCGTTTATAAGGGTTACGGCAAAGTGGTTGATAAAATTGACATCCTTATCATCCACGTCATCATATGTTACAAGATGGTCAAAATAGGTAAAAACATAGGAAAACTTTGAAACTTGTTACATTAAAACAAAAAATTTAAAACTTTGTTACATTGATTGAGAATAATAAGTATTACTTTATTACATTAAATAGAAACTAAGAGTCCGTTTACTGAACGCTTACCTGGGTAAACACTTACCAAGTCACATTACCTTACCGGATGAATATGGTAAGAACCAAGAATCTTACCCGGTAATAGTGACGCAAGGACCAAGAGTCTTACCCGGTAAATGAGGGCTACAACTTTTACCATGGTTAGCGCTTACCGGGTAAATTGTTGCATATGATGCCATTTTGATGGACTAAAATCTTACCCGGTAAGTAAGTGATAGTGCTGAATTTTACCGGGTAAGTGTTTGGTTAACGGCCCCTAAGACAAACTTCGTTACATTTTAATGCATTTTGCCCTTTTTCAATGAACTTTCAAAGGAATGGACAAAATCTGAAAGTCTACTTTATTGATCATTATAATTGTCAAGTTCTCCAATACAAATTTCAATCCATAGAATTGTGATATGATGGAATTCTTGTAACAATTTTTCATTGCTTTGAAATGACTCATTCCGATCCAACCATGATTCCTCTTTACCCAAGGCTACTAGCCCATGCAAAAAACTTGAGTCAATTTATTACCTTCACATGAAATAACTGAACATTCACAGTAAAATTTGTGTGAATGTTCTGTTATTTCTTGTGAAGTTGGTTTCTGTCTCACATAACATCGACTATTCAAATAAAAGGGCACATAAACAACTACATGACTAATTAATTCCATCATATATTTCGTCTCGTGCAAAAACAACAGCAGATAAAGTGGCAACAGTGGTAGCTAACGAATATAAAGATGCTAATGATAAAGTGATGCCAGTAAAAAATGGGTTGAGGAAACAACCGGCCTCTAACCTAGAAGCTTACTGAATAAGCCACTTTAAATATCATTAAGCCACTTTCAATATCATTAAGCTACTATCAAACAGTCATGAATAGCTGACCGAGTAAGCTGTGAGTCCCGTTAAGCTCATTAAGCTAGAGAGACCGTAAATATATAATTTATCACTCACCGTAACAAAAAGAGGTGTTTGAAAAGCATTCACAAATTCTCTATTTTCCTTAACCACAGCACAAATTCTCAAGAGATTGGGTTGATTCAAAAACCACAAATTTTGAAACCCTATCAACGATAATGAACCAATCATAATAAATCAATCAAGCAAAAATGCAATAAAATTCTGAACATAATCAACCAAATAAACTATCACGATCTGAAATAGGGCAAATTTCCTACATCTTTTCGCCACGTAACAAAACTTAACACACAGTGAAGTAGAAATCCGATCCACTTACATAAAGAAAGAAGCGGTGATGACTAGACCGACGGCGAGCATGAGCACAGCTAACGTTGGATACCAAGCGTCTGGGACGGGGCTGGATATCGGTTTAACTGAATGAACCTTTCAAATCCAAATCGAAATCGAAATCGAAATCGAAAAACAAAATCATTCATAAATCAGATAATGTTAGCATCAAAAGATAAGTTAATCAAGAAGATAACAAAACCCTAGAAATTGCATACCATTTTGGGGATGTAGAGAGTGCTAGAGCTTCGATCCGGCTTCGTTCAAAGAGACCGGCTGTGCTGAAGAGCAAAGTCGCTATGAACAAGAAGACCCAAAAACAAATAGGGAAATTTGGTTGACATTTTAAGTCCCTATAGTTTATGGTTTTTTTCATTTAAAACCCCGTACTTAGTATTTTTTTGGCAAATTTCTCAATGTTCAAAAACACCCAAATAAACTTTTCATTTTGAATTTTAGTCTCTAAATTATTATTTTTTTAAATAAAAAAACGATTTAACTTTCTCATTTTGAATGATTAACCTCTGAACTATTCTTTTAATAAATTTTTTTATTAAACTTTCACATATTGAATGGTTAAAACCCTAAATTTTTTAAAAATAATATTGAATGTTTATTAATTGGTTAATGTAACTTTTTTGGATTAAAAAAATATAGTAGGTAACCAATTTTTAAAAGTATGATAGTTTATTTATTAAAAAAATGTTTAGGAACTTAATCAATTAAAATGAGAAATTTTAATGATTTTTTATTCAAAAATAGAAAGTTTAATGATTATTTAATTTAAAAAAAATAGTTCAAAGACTTAATCATTTAAAAGAAGAAAGTTTAATGATTTTTCATTTAAAAAAATAGTTAAAAACTTAATCAGTCAAAATAAGATAATTTGTTGGAATTTTTTAGACTTTTCTCCATAACTTTTTATATCAAATTTTATATAAAAACTGAATCTAAAGTAAATATAAAATTATCGAACAATATTCAAGTATTTCTTTTATTATTTGATTCTTAAAATCCACGACGCTTACAAAAAATATAAAAACTCGATAACCATCTATTTTATGTGGTATTCATAATAAATAATAATAAATAATGATAAATTATTCATTATAAAAATATGTTACTACATTCATATTAATATTTATCACGTTATTCATCATAAATACTATACAAAATAGGTGGTTCTTAAAATATTTACTTTTGTAACTAGGCACACAATTTTGATAAAACATTGTCATCATTTTAATTTAGAACAAATTACACTAAAATGAAATATATATAATTCATACTGTTGATACGAAACGTACGTCACGATGACCCGAGGACGAACGTAAAGAATTCGAGATCACATAGGGAGCATTTTCGTTCAGAAAGAATTACAATCGTAAATGCATATTTACTAAAGTTGAAACAAGGGAACTCTCCGGGTGTTTGATTAGTTAGTGGGTACCTCGACTAATCCCATGAAACCTGGAGAACAACCAAAAAAATCTCTAACGGTCAGGTCAAGGAGGGACTCGAACCAGTGGGGAGGAGCCTTCGCTCAAACCTTATTGTTAGTGAGCTAACCCCTCGGGTTAAGCTCTCTTTGCTCTGTATTCATGCAAGGTTTGCACCATCGGCAACAACCGCAACTCTTCCTCGATCAGCGTCAACCAAACCCCTTGATATTACCAACTTCGCGGTACAAGAATTGTTTGCCCGATCGAGCCTAGTCAAAGTCAACTAGTGCAATGATAACTTCAAAAATCCCGGTGGGCCAAGCCTCTATATCGTCAGCAGGCATAAAGTCAAGCTCAGCCCGTATGAACCCATGAACCCGAGTCAGACCCAGTCTCCAAATCAAGTGGACACTCATAGTTCAAGTAAGTTGGTTGGGCTAGGCTGACCCAAGCATGACGGTCCACGGATGTCGACCCCAAATCCGTCGATTCTCCACACTCGATACGCACCCCAGGTTCAAGGCCTCAACCACCTGACCCATGGAAGGACGGTGCGATACATCGGTCTGCACGCACATTGAAGCCACGGCTGCAACTCTAGCTATGCTATCAATGGAAACTGTCCAAATAGCCAATCAGGCATCTCCTCCTACCTTTCCAATATAGTTACCAAAATAGCCGAAGATTACGCAACTTGCATAACCCACTTTTTCCAATAAAATAATCAAGATAATTAGACATTATGTATGCAAGCCACATAGACATTACAAAAGTAGCACTTGCGTAGTGTCTATTTTTCAGTATTGTCTACGACTCTACGTGGCTCGTATAATGTCTAATTTTCCTGATTATTTCATTGGAAAGAGCGGGTTACGCAAGTTGCGTAAGCGCTACTTGTATCTTCGGATATTTTAGTCATAATAGTAGAAAGGTGGCTATAAAGTGAAGATGGGAGGTCTGATTGGCTATTTCGGTCAATTTCTCGAGATTTGAGGCATTCTTGTGTTAGGAAGAGTGTATTTTTGTGTTAGGCAGAGGCGTTCTTAAATAAATCATAAGGTTATGCATTTAAAAGAAAATCTTTCAATAGGTTATTCTCCTAAATAGCCAGGAATAAGACATACCCGAAGGTTCCCATGATGCGAGTCGTGATGTGTTGATTTTCTTCATCGAGCCAAACCGAAATCAGAAACTTTTGGAGTGAACTCATGTTCCAATAAAATGTTGCTAGACTTGAAGTCTCTATTGTATGACTCTTGGGCTTGAATCTTCATGTAAATAAGCTAGCCCACGAGCCGCACCTAGTGCGATCTTCAACCGAGCTGCCCAACCAAGTGGACCCGTTTCCTTGTTTCTCCCTAATCAACCAATCAAATTTCAAACCATTATAGGCCTTCAAAAATTTGAAACTTAACTGTGGAGTTCTGATGGGATCCGGTGCAATAGTGCCGGTATGATCGCATCCAAAAGTTTAAAACTTTGTTACACTGATAGAGAAATTTTGAAACTCCATTAAATTGCTTGAGGAAAAGAAATTTTTTGTTACGATAAATAGGAACTAAAACAAATTTCGTTGCATTTTGATACATTTTGGCCGAATTTTTTCAAGAAACCTTGAAAATTTCGGGGAAAAATGTTAATTGTTCCAAGGATGCGTACTCTTTACCGTGTAGGTGAGACTGAACAGTGCCATTTGGGATGAGCTCGTAAACTAAGCACCGGCTCCGATCATCCATACAAAAGCCGATCAGTCTAACTAAGTTCCGGTGGTGAAGGCGGCTAAGCATCTCAACTTCCGCCAAGAATTCAGGACCACCTTGTTTGCCGATTTTATTGAGTACTTTGACCGCCACTTCCGTCCCATCTTCTAGCAAACCGCCATAGACGATCCCAAATCCACCTTCACCAAGAACTTGGGACTCGTTGAAGTTATCCGTTGCTTTCTCCATCTCACTCAAGTTAAACATCTTTGCAGATCCTATACAAGCCATACTAGATCGAAATGATCGTGAATCCGATGTGGGACCACTTCGTTCGTTGATGCCGCAATCCCTGCCATATATACATGTTCCCATCAAAAGAGCTACTCCCTCCGTCCCAAAAAAATGTCCACCATGAAAAAGACACATGGTTTTAGAAATGTGTAACTATTACACTTTTTAATCAACTAAATGACATTTTATCCTTAATAATAGAGGAAGTAATGAATTTCTCCATCATATAACGAAGGGTACAATTGGAAAGTAGGCAATTACTTTTGAAAGTGGACACTTAATTTGCGACAACCTAAAAATAAAAATGTGGACACTTGTTTTGGGAGAGGGACTACAACTTTTGCACTTATCCAACTTAGAGAAGTTATACATAGAAAGAATTCCATTTCAAATTCAGGGTTAGTCTAAACCAAAGGAAACACACCCAATATTCCCCCACTCAATTATGAAAAATATTCGGATTTTTTACAATTTTATACTTGATGCATCCTTCGATAAGAAGAAATGATAAACATGTTTGATGGGTAATTGGCAATAGACAATGAATCAATATCCATAAGCCTATGTACTTTTAGTTTACAAGACCAACCCATTTTATGTCTTCGGCTCACCTTGGGTTTGATTCAGACTCTTATTTTGGGTTCGAAACAATTGAAGGGAGGAGTATAATTTTCTAGCAGCCCAAAGGAGATTAAGATTCTTTCTAATTAACGCTTCATTAATAGTCCTTTAATTGCTTTCCAACTTTTGGTCTTTCTTTAGTCTTTTCAATTTTCAAGAGTTATGTTTATCTTCCGGCCCATATATGGGGTTCCAAGTTGTAGCTAGAAGACATCTTTTTTTGAATAATGAGTTTACAATAGCTTGTGAAGCTGTTATGAGTGTTCATACGCAAAAGGAGTCAATTCTTGAGCGTTGCTAGTGTGGTGTTGTTGCTTTATCACAAGAACTAATTGACCGTGGTTACATACGTGAAAGCATGAGTTCTTGCTCTGTTCCAGCTTTGTTGGTCCCAAAAAAAGATGGGACCATGAGAATGTGTGTTGATAGTAGAGCCATCAATAATATCAAAGTCAAATATCGCTATCCCATTCTGAGGTTGGATGATATGCTTGACGAACTTCATGGTGCCAATTTGTTCTCGAAAATGGATTTTCGGAGTGGGTACCACCAGATCAGAATGCGTGAAGGAGATGAATGGAAAACCGCATTCAAAACAAAAGGTGGTTGTATGAATGGTTGGTAATGCCAATTGGACTTTCCAATGCTCCTAGTACTTTTATGAGGTTGATGAATGAGGTTCTTAGACCTTTTCTTGGTGGTTTGGTTGTTGTATACTTTGATGATATACTTGTGTACAACAAAGGTGCAGAAGAACATACTCAACATTTGAGAAGAGTATTTGAAGTGTTGAGAAGCCAAAAACTCTATGGGAAGTTGGAGAAGTGTGAATTTTTTTCCTCCAAAAATGTTCTTTCTTGGTATGTTGTATCTAAAGATGGGATTTTGATGGATGAATCAAAGGTGGCAGCAATCAAATCATGGCCACTACCTTCGAGTGCAACAGAAGTAAGGAGTTTCCATGGCCTTGCTTCGTTTTACAGGAGGTTTGTCAAGAATTTCAGCACTATTGTTGCACCTCTCACTGAATGTATCAAACAAGGCTCTTTCGAATGGACTCAATCTGCCCAGAATGCATTTGAGAAAATCAAAGAGTGTTTGTGCAAATCGCCTATCTTGGCCCTTCCAGATTTCAACCAATTGTTTGAGGTTGAATGTGATGCAAGCGGAGTTGGCATAGGGGTTGTCTTGGTACAAAATAAACGCCCTATAGCCTATTTCAGCGAGAAATGGAATGAATCAAAGAAGAACTATA